TGGGAGATAAAGAATAGATCTGTGGCCGCTTTTCACGTTTGACAAAGAAGAAAGACCAAATGTTTTTCTTGCTTTTGCTTCACACGCCCCATGAAGCAATATGAAGCCCCTTGAAGCAATATGAAGCCCCTTGAAGCAATATGAAGCCCCTTGAAGCAATATGAAGCCCCGTGAAGCAATATGAAGCCCCGTGAAGCAATGAGGAATTGCAGCTCTGAGGTGATTAATTTACTCTAACGCCATCATGTGGACAAAAACATGTAAAACAAGTGCTGGCAATAAATGGTGCGTCTGAGACATCTACAGAAAACTCACTCACACATTTTCTCAAAGGTACATTTTTTTATTTTGTTCTATTTTGCCAAATGATTTGATCTAAAAACGAGATTGCGCCAATGTAAGTTTAGCATTTATGTGACACAAACAATAAAATTGCCTAAAGTAAAGAAAGTTAAATGTGTGGTGTTTAAATCCAAGATGTGCGTGTTCTTCTTGCTCAGAGGTCTCTGGTGAAATGCAGCTCGCGGAAATTCAATTTAGAAGACGTCAGCCAAAAGCTACCCCCTCCAGGCCAGCTCGCATCCCCAGCCTATCGCACAGCAAACGCCCCCTTCCAATCATCCGTGCCGGCCAGGCAGCCGCTTAAAAGCGGAGAAACTCCCACTTCACAGCCTTCTCGAAGCCTCGCAACCACCGCCTCCCCTCCTCCTCCTCTTCACCCTGCCTCCAATCTGCTTCCTGCTGCCAAAATGCCGCCACCAGTGCCTAGGTCCCGGGGAATTGTGCGCGCTCTATCGCAGGAGCCTCTCCGACTGAAGGCCGCACCGGGCACCAAACCACCTCTCATTAAAATACTCAAAAGCATTCTCGCTTTCTCGTCTCTCCAAATTGAAATGAACTTTGACTTTCTCTGACAGCGTCAAAAACACACACCCTTGTTTCTTCTTCCTGGTTTCTGCTTCTTTCAGCTCCAGCTTCACCGTGGATTATTAAATAAACTACGACAAACTCCTAGTTAGTAAGTCATCTTTATTTATATAGACCACTTTTACATATTTTTGTTGTTGTAGGGGAAACCGGAGCACCCGGAGGAAACCTACGCAGACACGGGGAGAACATGCAAACTCCACACAGAAAGGCCTGGAGATGGAATAGAACCCAGGACCTTCTTGCTGTGAGGCACAAGCTCTAACCGCTGCACCACCGTGTCGCCCATAAGTCATGGAGAGTTAGAGACCAGTGGCTCTGCCCCTCACATGATCTGAAGACATCAGAAGCAGCAGGAACAGCAGCAGGGAAAATGGCAGCAGTAACAGTAGCAGTAACAACAGAAACAGCATCAACAGTAATAATTAAAAACAAACAAGAAAAAGTAATAACAGCAGCAACAACAGGAATAACTGTAGTAACAGGAGCATTAACAACAACAAACATGAAACATATGATAGTATAATAACATCAGCAGTAAAAACATCAGCAGTAATAACATCAGCAGTAATAACATCAGCAGTAATAACATCAGCAGTAAAAACAGCAGCATTAGTAACATCAGCAGTAAAAACAGCAGCAGTAATAACATCAGCAGTAATAACAGCAGCAGTAGTAACAACAGCAGTAAAAACATCAGCAGTAAAAACAGCAGCAGTAATAACATCAGCATTAGTAACATCAGCAGTAATAACAGCAGCAGTAGTAACAACAGCAGAAAAAACATCAGCAGTAAAAACATCAGCAGTAATAACAGCAGCAGTAATAACATCAGCAGTAAAAACAGCAGCAGTAATAACAGCAGAAACCGCAGCAGTAGAATCCGCGACGTCTTCCTCTGACACTGCTGTCTCTTCTTTAGTGTTGCTTCAATCTGAAGAGACAGAAACATTAGTGCATTATAATATTTATTTGATTGGCGCATTGACCCCGGCAGTGACACTTACAGAGGAGGAGATGGTCAGCTGCTGTAGATGATTTCAGACCCCCCGGGGTCAAGCACTGGTGGTGGCTAGAAGCATGGTGTGAATGGGGCGTAGGCGGAGCAGGAGCAGGAGCCAGAGCCGGAACCAGGAGCCGGAACCAGGAGCCGGAACCAGGAGCCGAGGAGGCGCTGGGGAGGTGGTGGGTGTTAAGAGCTTCAGGAAGGGCCGTTTATCGGGGAGTAGCTGTTTTTAAACTGGCCGCTTTGCTGCCAGTGGGTTGTCAAGGGGCTGGCTGGGCTGTGTGATTGGCAGAGGCTCGAGAGGCTGGCAGGGCTGTGTGATTGGCAGAGGCTCGAGAGGCTGGCAGGGCTGTGTGATTGGCTGGCCCTGCCGGTGAGAGCCGTGGCCGGTCTTTCAGGTTGAAGTTGCGCTTCAGCTTCATTTCAGAATCTGGAAAGAAATAAAACATGTTTTTTATGATTGAGTTCTTTGTGTGAAGCATCATTGTGTGTCATGAAAAGTGATATTTTATTTACACTTGTGTTTGTTTTCTCCAACCTCAGAATCACTGAGCAGAATGTCTCTTTTATTTAAGTACTTATACTTCTACTTGAATACATCTATCCCTTTATACTCTACATCAGTGTCTTCCAAAGAGGGGTCCCAAAGAGGGTTAGGGTTAAGCAGAGGCTATTTCTCCCAAATAAAATAACGAGAAGAGCCTATTTTTAACGTTGTCTTCTTGGTTATTATTTTGGGGGGCCGCGAAGACCCGTCAGATTTTTAGGGGGCCGCGGTGTTACTGACTTAGGGAATGGCTGCTCTACATGATCAGTAACAGGCTGTTTGCTTTCAAGACTGAAGAAAGTACTAATACAGAAATGACCTGAAATCTGGTGAAAGAGCACGTCCCACGCATCTTCTGTGTCCAAATGTTTACAGGTGTTCATCTCTCAAATCCACATTTAGACCTAACACAAATTACTTTATATAACCTGATGCAAAATCCAGGGCCATGATCAAATAAATCACATATTTACATAAAATGTATTTTTTTAGAATCTAATGATCATTGTAAATACAAGTGTTATAACAGAGAAAGTCCGTCACAGAAGCCTTCTCTTTGAATTACTTCAACACTTGAAAATTACAGCGTTTTTTTTTACTTTTTACCTTTGATCATGGCCGCTTTTCTCTCCGCTCAGTGATCCATGCAACTGAGGGACGCTCACGTACGACGGCCTTACGTCACTGTCACCAGAATGATTGACAATTAGGAGGACAATCCACGAGACCAAAATCCGATCCAGAAACTGTAGCAAAATCAGAGCACTCTCCATGTAATCTGAGCCTGAGCTGTTATTGTGCAAAGGAGAAGTTTAGCACTTCTACAGACTGACTTGTCTTCCCTTTCTGCTTCACGTAACAACTCCTGCTCTGTCAGATTCCATCAAGAACATTTGTGAACTGAAGTTTTAAGATAATTCACAAATTCCTCGAGTTCCTTGGGTTTTGGATTGAGAAAATAGATCATCTATCCATCCATTTTCATAAATGGGAGAACACATTTCCCCCGAAGCTAAACGCCCTCCTGAAGATGTTTTCCTCTTCTTCTTTGGACAAAATCATCTAAAGAGACACAATCATGATTATCCGTTTCCTCCATGCTGTTAATGAGGGTGAGCAGACTCTTACCTTCAGTAGGGGGCAGTGTGGAGTCGTTCAGAGGCTGCACTTTGGCTGTTCTCTTTATCCAAAGTTTCCTTTTAGGCCTGAGGAGACAACATTTACGTCATCAGTAAATACATCAGTTAAACTTTATTTATTATTTATTGTATTATTGATCAGAACTGTCATCTTGGACGTGGCTCTAAGGATATCAGTGACGAGCTCCACTGTTGTCACTATAACAGCTGCTTAATCCTCCTCATTGTGAAAAAAAATGGACTCATTCAAGCTCTACAAGGCGTACGCTGCATTGAAAATAGTTTTCACTAAAAATAAGAGTATTCTAAGATGAGAAATGCTCCTGTTTGGGCATTTTCCCACAACAGCCATTGTAACTAATAGGAATAGGAAAAAAATACTTCCTGTCCTAGGACAAACCCCCTTTTGGTCACATGGTTGCAACCCAGCAAAATGCAGGTACGTTTTCCGACTTGTTTTTTGTAAATAGTTCTACAGGTAATAACCCTTGTGGCTGCTATATGGTATCTGTTGTGGTGAAGAAGGAGCAGCGTCTGCTGTCAAAGCTATGGATTCACTGCTCTTTTAGGATGGATTCAGGCCAGTTCTGTTGACAAAAGTTTGAGGCGTCTGGTCCTACGTCTGTTCTTGAACAGATTGTGTTTCTCAAGCTTTAAGACAAGTACAAACCATGTGCTCCTCAACTCTTTCGGTGGTCACCTTCCTGTAATCGTATGGTGTTTTCTGGTGGGGCCGGTTTCACCATAATGACCCTGTGAGAGGACACAGGAGCTTCCTGGACCTCAGCTCTGCTGCTCTTACTGTGTCTGTAAACAACATCAACATTAAAAAGGGCAGTGTATTGAAGGATTCTGTATAAATGAACAGAATGTGTTTCTTTAGCTTTTAAAGGCAAGTATAAAATAGGTGTGCTAGCCAAAATCAAACCTCACCTCTTGTTCTGGACATCTATGACCGTCTCTAGTGGGGCCGGTTTCACCATAATGACCCTGGGAGAGGTCACAAACCAGGTCCAAACCAAAAACCAATCCAGAAACTGTGTCAAAATCTGAAAACAAACTGTTCACAACACTCTCCATTTAATCTAACTGAGCCTGAGCTGTTATTGTGCAAAGGAGATGGGAATAAAATCAGACTCTAGACGTCTCTAAAAGTTTAGCACTTCTACAGACTGACTTGTCTTCCCTTTCCGCTTTACGTAACAACTCCTGCTCTGTCAGATTCCATCAAGAACATTTGTGAACTGAAGTTAAGATAATTCCTCGATTAGGTTTTGGATTTAGACAATGGATGGATCATCTTTCCATCCATTTTCACAAATGGATAGAGAGATCATAGTGGGAGAACACCTTTTACCCAAAGCTGAAAGAAATACTTAGCTTAAGTAAAACAGCTGCAGCGTTTGAGCCATGAAAACGCCCTCCTGAAGATGTTTTTCCTCTTCTTCTTTGGGACAAAATCATCTAAAGAGACACAATCATGATTATCCGTTTCCTCCATGCTGTTAATGAGGGTGAGCAGACTCTTACCTTCAGTAGGGGGCAGTGTGGTGTCGTTCAGAGGCTGCACTTTGGCTGTTCTCTTCATCCAAAGTTTGCTTTTAGGCCTGAGGAGACAACATTTACATCAGTTAAACTTTGTGGATTGGAATACTGTGCTTTTTGTACCAGAAATGGACAAAATAATCTAACCTGTCTTTAAGCTGCTCGTCTACAGCGTCACAGCGAGTAGACGTGGGAGTCTGTATCGGAGCGGGCTCTCTGGCTTTAGCCTTTGTCTCCATATTAAGTCAACTGCAGGAAAACAACATGTTACTGTAGACTCCACACAAGGATCAAACTTTCTTTACAGCTACTAAGACCGATCAAAGCATTTAAACAGACTGAAGTCCTTCCTGACCTGTCACTCTGCTGCTGGTCCTGGATAGGGTCTCTCTGTGTGGTCCTCTCTGCGGAGTGGAGCTCCACACTCGTCACACTAAAGAAAACATCTGGGATTAGTCTCTTTTTGTCCACTTGGTTGTTTTCAGAGACGGTTAAAGCTGAGTAACTTTGATTAAACAAGAGAAAAGTCCTTCTCCGTGACTTCTTGTTTCTTACGCAGCAATAAAAATGATTCTGATTCTGAAGTGTCAAGTCCATGTGTTGTTGGTCTCTGTTACATCTTTAGACCAGTCTTAGATCAGGAGTGCCCACACATTATTAACCCATGATCTACTTTGATCCACCTTGAATCTAAATGGGAGTTTTATGATTCAGAATACTGCATCTGGTTTGATTTGTGATGCAGTTGTGATTCATTGTAAATTTCTTCATTTTGAGATCAATAAAGTGTTTTCTTATTTTGTGATCAAAAAATGACCATGTTGTGTTTATTACCATTTGACATGAAAGCAATATATAAAGGAACAAATGATCAATATAAACAAGTGATACTCCAATCACAATGTAATTTTTCAAGCAAATATAGTTAGGGATCTGTTAATGCTGTTTTAACCACAGTTCTCCCTCACAAAAACACATCCACAAAAGACATCGTTCCGGTATTTTCAATATTGGTTGCCTTTTCCAAGGAGAGGTGACTTTTGAAGCAAAGACATAGCAGAGAGTGCTCTGTCTCTACTTCCAAAACCAGATCTCACTAGGGTTGCCTATAATAAGGGACACCATTTGGGTGGATCGGGTTGAGTACTTTTTAGTCCTAATTTCAGTCTACACAGTAATCATGAAATTTCATAATCAGTTTTTAGATTATATGTAGTCAATAAATTGCAAACAAAACAAATCCTTAGTCAAAAATGAAATTGAATAAATAGGTGGAACTCTTTGGCTGGTTGAGGACTTAATGCATTCTTATTATTAACAAAAAATATAAAAAGACAAATACTGTAACATACATTATTTATGTATGTTACAGTAAAGACCAATTTCTGTAAAAGTAAATAAAAAAGAAAAACATGTATTCATTAAAAAAAACTCACAAATGTTGAAATCAAAGTCTGTAGCAGTTAGATATGGTCATAATTTATATTGTCAGAGTTTAGTGCGTGTACATGGCTTCAGTAAAAGCTATTGTTCGTTTACAAAGCTGGCCTGGACATTTGTTGACGCTCCCTAAGTGCTTTTCTCGGCGCTTGCAGTGCATTGGATTCAGAGGATTTCTCTGCATTAAAACAGTGCATTGGATTTGAAAAATCAACGTAGAGATGATCATTTTAGCAAAATTACTTTTGTTTAACAAAGTATCTTTCGTGAACTATTGACCACGGAAGTCCGAATCTGGGAATATGACGCTACTTTCCCAAACTTCTGCTGTGATGATGCTGCGGGCACGGCCCACACTGGCGATTGTTAACATTAAACCAATGTATGGGATCAAGCCTACGCCCCTTTGACACTGATTGGCCGAAAGGTAGACGCTTAAACTGTGATTACTTTGTGTGTTGTGTGTGCGTGTATCGCGCGTGTGACATGCAGTGAGTGAGTGATGCATTTAAGGTGGCTCTGAAAATACGGGACAAAAGCTGTTCCGTATCGATTAAATACGGGACGCACATAGTTTTTCTATAATACGGGACAATTCCGTATTTCAAGGGACGGTTGGCAACCCTGGATCTCACTCAGTCGAGGCTGCAAACTCTTTTGAGACTACCAGTGGGGGCGGGTCCCGGCTCAAAAGTGGCCAAAATGTTGTACGCTGACATGCTTGCAATACCACCCCGGGCCGGAATAAGATTAGCCAATGCTAGAGATGTAAAAAACTATGAACGTTTATGACCCACCACCGGTTGAAACCGTTTAAACCGCGTAGTTTATAATAGTCCACGTTTTTTTGAAATAACAGCCATTTCGAGCCGCGTACTTTTCATAAGAGCAGCTCTGCGTTCTACTGGATCAGAGCCGAGACAGCGGCGCCAAAACCCGCAACAGCTTCGGCACCTTTGCGCACAGAGAACTGCTTTTTTAATCTTCCCATTCTGCTGTGCTGCGAGTTAAAGCATTTTTAAGCAAAAGACGGCTCGTCCACATGGTCAGAGCAGCGAGTGACGAGCCGCGTCTCGCAGTCTCCTCTAAAGTTTAAAAGTGATGTGTGTGGAGCTGATCTAATGACAAGGACCATAAGCACTAACATGGTCCATGTGGTTTGACTGAAGCCGCGTATTTGCGCGGATCCTTTGGGCTCCGTGACACAGAGGAGCGCGACAGACCGGTGTGTATGTGTGTGTGTGTACGATACATGTATGTGTGTGTGTGTGTGTTTGTGTATGTGTGTAAATATAAGCTCCAATGTAGTTCTGACATGCACCAGTGTGCAACTAGCAGGCGGTAACAGAGGGGAGAGATGATGCGTGTGGATGTTACGTATCAATGGAGGGGGGGAAAGTATGTGTTTGTGTGCGTGTGTGTCTGTGCGGCATGAGAGTCAGCCCGGAGTTTACTGATACATTGGCGCACACAGCTAGATACGGACCGCTCGTCACACCGTGCAAATAGGGCTTAAAATAGCGTTATGAAGAGACCTCCCCTCTCCCCTTTTTCTCTTTTAACCGACAGCTTTGACCGGTTAACGCTGTGACGGTCAACCACCGGTTAAACAGTCACCGATTTACATTCCTAGCCAATGCTAACATATATCATTAGCTGACCTCTCAAAAACGTATTTACAGGATGGTCCAAAAGTTGGCTCATGGCCCAAATGTGTGTCATTGCTGAGGGGGGTGAATTTTTTTGGACCACTCGCTTGGGAATTTTTAAAGGCACTTGTTCAAATGAATGGGGCTCTCGCCGGCTGACGCATGCGCAGGTGCGTTATTTCACAGTTTTCTTGTGGCCGGGACCACTCGCGACCATTTTGGATAGCTCCAGTAGAGAACAATTTTTGGCCCATTAGATTGAACGGCGGAGATAGGCGTGACTACGTCTACGTTAATATATACAGTCTATGGATAGTACAAGACACACCTTCGTATGCAGATAGGAGAGGAAGAACAAACCCAGCAAAGATCAATGACAAGACCTTCCTCCTGGTGTTTAACATACACAAACCCCCCAGACTTCCTGGAGCCTGAGATTAATCTACTTCAGTTTACAATACGTCTAGTCACAAAAAGGAATTATTAAAATTATAATTTAAATAACGTTCCAATGACAGGATCCCAGCTCTAAAGAAAACAGCTGTATATTTGTACTACGTATTGGAGAGGGCTATTGTTATTGGCAAAACAAGCGTTTTTTTATAATTAGTTCTACAGGTAATCGCCCTTGCAGCTGCTATATCATAACTGTTGCGGTAAAGAAGGAGCAGCGTCTGCTGTCAAAGCTATGGATTCATCACTCTTTGTAGGATTCATGTTTATGGTAGTCAAACATAAACGGCCAGTTGTCTTGACTAAAGTCTGTGTCTGTCCTTGAACAGATTGTGTTTCTCAAGCTTTTAGACAAGTACAAACCCTGTGCTCCTCACCTCTTTCCGTGGTCACCCTCCTGTAATAGTATGGTGTTTTCTGGTGAGGCCGGTTTCACCATAATGACCCTGTGAGAGGACACAGGAGCCTCCTGAACCTCAGCTTTGTTGCTCTTACTGCGTCTGTGAACAACATCTACATTAAAAAGGGCAATCTTCACAGTTTCTTAAAGCAGACATCATGTAACAAAGTCTTCTGGGAGCCTTTTGGGGACAAACAAATGCTCCATGGAGGATTAGAGCTAACTCATCAGGCTCTATGGCAGAGGTGTCAAACTGGTCCTTAAAGGGCCAGTGAGGCCGCAAGTTTTAATTCCAACCTGAGCAGGAACACACCAGACTCCTCAGGTTGGAACTAAACCTGCAGTCACACTGGCCCCTTCTGGAACCGGTTTGACACCCCTGCTCGATGGAGTGTTAGAGCAAACACAAAGTCCCTGAAACAGTCTCACCTGTTCTTCTGTTGGGTCATGTTAAAGGTTCTATGAGCCTTCTCTCTGGACATCAGAACCTTGTGACTAAAAACAAAACAAAAAAACAATTACTTTTCACAGTATTTTGTATCAATCACTGTATTGTATAAAGGATAACTGTATCAATGAACAGAATGTGTTTCTGTAGCTTTTAAGGCAAGTATAAAAAAGGTGTGCTAGCCAAAATCAAACCTCACCTCTCCTTCTGAACATCATCGACCTCCTGTAATTCAAAGATGTTCTCTGGTGAGGCCGGTTTCACCAAAATGACCCTGGGAGAGGTCGCAGGAGCTTCCTGGAGCTCAGCCTTGTTGGTTTCACTGCGTCTGTAAACAACATCAACATTAGAAGAGCGACTTTTATAGTTGCATAAAACAGAAATGATGTAACAAAGTCATCTGGTAGCTTTTTCGGACAAAGAATAATAATAATATGAATGCATACTATTTATAACGCAGCTTTCACATGCTCAAGGTGCTACGGCATCAGAGCATCAGAATAAGTACAAACAAGTATAAGAATGGATAAAAAGGCAGAAGGTGCCAATCAACAGCTGTGGTTTAAGGTGCTGTTTAAAGTGCTCCACAGACAGTGGTGCCTACAGGTCTTGTAGCAGAGGGTTCCAGAGGTGGAGCAGCTATTGAAAAAGTCCTTTCCTCCATGGAACGGAGCCGAGTGATTGGCTGAGACAGTAAGTATTTGTGGACCGGAGAGATCTTGATGTGGACTGTAGGGGGAGGAGATCTTTCAGAAATGCTGGAGTGTTACCATGAATGTATTGGTGAGTGAGGATGCAGATTTTGTATTCAATGTATAGGTTCAAGGGCCAGTGGAGTTTACTGAGGGCAGGGGTTATGTAGTCGATCTAGCGCGTCCTCGTCAGTACAGTATATGTTGACGCTCATGAAGGATTCTGCCAGGGAGCCTGGCGAGGAGGACGTGACACTAGTTCAGCCTGGTCGAGACTAAGACGTGGACCAAGTTCTTGACATCACAGAGGGAAAGAGAGGGGCAGAATGTGATGAAAGTAGGCCGTTTTGGAGAGATGTTGGATGTGTGTGTCAAAAGTGAGGTTTGGAGTCAAACCTGACACCAAGGTTTGTACTAGCCTGGTCGTACCACACCATAGTACAAATTACATTTCTTACTAAGGTCTGGAGGCGCTCCATTGAGCTCCGTTAACAGGTGGGAGGGGTTAACTCCTTTTGCAGATTGAAACGATTGGATCTGAGTTTACTGTGACGTATGTAATGCGCCTGAGTGAGTCGTTAGCATTTAGCCTAGCCATCTCCTTTGCTGCTAATGGAGCCCGTGGGGAGTAGCCCCACAATTTTCTTTACATTTGCTAAACATTCCTATTGCTCCGGTTTCAATTTCTTGATAGAACCAGACCGGATTACTTTACTATCGCATTTTTGCCATTGCCAAACTACAACCTTCCCGTTCAACGCAATCTCTTGAGGTCAACCACAACTAACTACAACACTCTCCTTCCGCGCTCGCTTTTAAGACAAGTACAAAACCGGTGTGGGCCCTTTAAAAACCCAGCCAAAACCAAGCCTTAAGCCTAGTTTATACTTTTTTTTTTTTTTATTATTTTATTATTATTATTTTCAATTTACAACAAACGTCAAAGACGAGACATTTGAAAATATAGAGCTCATATCAAAATAACAAAATACAGTATATGAAATAAAATTACATTAATAATCAAAAAAAAAAGTTCATTTAGTTTGTGTCAGGGGGTTTCATTAAAGAAGTCTTTGTAACAGTCTTGGAGTCGTTGGCTTTTCTTGTTCATTACATACAGCAGTGAGTTCATAACATTTTTTACATCACTTAAAAATAGAGGAAAATACAGCGGTGATTTCAAAAATTTTTGCTTGTGAATAAAAAATTTACCAAACAGAATGAAAAAATTAACTACATAGTTAAATGACTTTGTGGTTGTGTTATCTTCAAAATAACAGATAATATCTTTAAGTGTAAAACAATGACTCGTTGGACAATTTTGGAAAATATAATTATTCAATTCAGCCCAAAATGTTTGAACAATGTTACAATAGAAAAACAAGTGCTCGAGAGTTTCTTCCTGTGTTTGACAGAATGTACAGTTTTTATCAACATCTGCAAACCTTGAGACGACCGAGTTGACAGGGTAGATTTTATGAACAATCTTAAAATGAACTTCTTTCATTTTGTTTGTTATACAGTATTTATATGGCAATAGCCAGGTTTTCTTCCAGTCTATTTCCTCTATTAAGGAGTTCCAGAAACATTTACACCTAGGAGTGATTTTGTTATGACTTTGAAACATTTGGCGGATATGGTGATTATTACATTTTCTATCAAGTAAATTAATTCCATTTAAGGTGAGCACAATAGAGCTATCACCAATATCGTTGATGTTGTTAAAGGATAAATGGCATCTCATAAGATGGAGCAACTCTGGAGGGATGGCTCTGATCACAGAGTTGTATTCTCTGAAGGGGAGAGGGAATTCATACTTCACCATAAATTGTTCATATGGTAAAAAAGATCCTTGTTCATCCAATAGAGACACAATCGTGTTAATATTTTTTTGGAACCATTTGGGAAAAAACAAAGACCGATTTCTTATTGTAACATGTTCGTTGTTCCACAAGGAATATTTATGTGGAGAGAAATTATGATTGAAGCACAGTTTCCAAGCAAGAAGACATTGCTGGTGGAAATTAGCTAATGACACAGGAAGTTTTGTAGGTGTGTAATTACATGTTAAAAGAAAAGGTAGTCCACCAACTGACTCAAAAATATGATTGGGAATAAAGTACCAGATAGACTCTAAATTTGCAAGACACCTTTTTAGCCAGTTAATTCGGAATGTATTTACAGTGTCGGAAAACTCTAAAACTTCGAGCCCTCCTTCCACTTTTGCATTCGAGAGTACAGCCTTTTTGAGCTTATGAGGTTTGTTTTTCCAAATGAAATAAAAAAAAAGAGTGTTAATTTCTTTGGATATGCGTTCATCTACATATAGTGACAGTAGAGGATAAACAAAGCGAGACAGACCCTCTGCCTTAGACAGAAGAACTCTACCATACAAGGTTAAGTCTCTCTGAAGCCAGAGGTTTAAAGATACTTTTGGTTTTAACAGTTCTATGATGGAAATTTAATTGTTGTCTAGTTGCCTTGTTTTTTGTAATTTGAATACCCAAATATTTAACAGACTGTTTGATTGGAATATTCTCTAGAAATAGATCTTCACAACTATGAATTGGCAACAGCTCACATTTGGATACATTGAGTTTCAAGCCTGAGGCCTTAGTGAATTCTTCAATTAATGAAATTGCCTTCTGCATCTGATTTTTATCTTTCAGAAAAAGAGCTGTGTCATCCGCAAGTTGTGAAATTCGTATTTCTCTATCGAAAATCGAAATACCTCTCAGTTCCGGGCTACTGATAATATTTATAGATAACAATTCCACTACTAAAACAAAAATAAAAGGACTTATCGGACATCCTTGTCTTACACCACGTGTTATATCAAACCTTTTTGTAGTGGTGTAATTAACAATAACAGAGCTATTGATACCATTGTAAAACATATCAACCATATGTGTAAAAGATTTTCCAAATTGAAATAACTGAAGACATTCTTGAATAAATTTGTGTTCAATAGTATCAAAAGCCTTGTAGAAATCCACAAACAAGATAAATGCGTCAGAGTGCACCAAGTCAGAATAATCCAATAAATCCAAAACCAAGCGGACATTATTACTAATGTGGCGACCTTTGATAAAACCACATTGAGTCTCTGCTATAATTTTGTTTAGATCTTTTTTCAGTCTATTGGCATAAACAAGGGATAATATTTTATAGTCTGTTGTTAGAAGAGTGATGGGCCTCCAATTTTCTATCAGCAAAGTGTCTTTATCTGCTTTTGGGATGAGTGAAATAACACCCTGTTTCATTGTTGGAGTCATTTCTCCTTCCTCTATGCACTGTTTGTACATATCAAATAGGGGATCTTTAAGAGTCTCCCAAAAGTGTAAGAAGAATTCAACTGACAGACCATCAATTCCTGGAGTTTTGCACTTTTTCATTGAAAACAAAGCTTCTTTAATTTCAATTAGAGTCAAATCAGAATCACACAATTCTTTAAAACTATCATCTACTACTGGACAATATTGTCTTATTTTACTAAGAAATTCTATGCAAGCTTTTGAATCAAATTCAGAAGTGTATAAATTACTATAAAATGAGGCCACGTGATTAGAAATAATTTTTGCATCTGTGGTTATTGTATCATTAAAGCTTGAGAGAAGTCAAAGATTTTTGTTTGCCGTTTCTTTTTTCAAGAGCAAAAAAGTAAGAGGAGTTGGTCTCCCCTTCTTCGATCCATTTAGCTCTGGACCGAATATAGGCACCTTTTGCTAAGTCTAAATAAAACTGATCCAGTTTTGTTTGCATTTCTTTTAATTCAACCTGTTCCAGTTCAGACATAACGTTTTTAGAAAGGAGATCATTTATTCTCTCAATTAAATCCATCTCATTTTTTTTTTTTTTTTTTAAGATTTTTACTTCTTTGTATTGCAACAGCCCTCAGTTTATATTTAAAATATTCCCACTTTTGCTTGTGATTACCATTCTCAGTGTCTAAGTATATTTCATTTATTAGCCTTATAACCTTTTCATTGAACTCCTCATCCTGCAAAAGGGTATTATTGAATTTCCAATATCCTCTTAGTTTGGACTGGTGTAATTCACCACACAGTTCAAGTGAAATTTGCATATGATCTGATAAAGGAGCAGAAGAATGCGAAACCTCTTTGAGAAGATAAAGGCTCGATGACGAAATCAAAAACAGGTCAATTCTGGATCTTAAAGATAAACTTCTATTAGACCAAGTAAAATCCTTTTTATCAGGGTATAAGAAGCGCCAGGCATCAGTGAGTGATAAATCCAAACATAGTTTTGTTATGTTATTGCTCTGAAGTGCTTGAACAGTTTTAGGTGGGAATCTGTCTTTTGTTTCATCTGCACATTCATTAAAATCACCACATAAAATAATCTGAGAGTTTGCATATTTTTGTAACAACTCGTTAAGTTTGAATGATATTTGGGAGAAGAGTGAGTTGTTATGTGAATGTATATTATGTCCATATATGTTACAAATAGTAAAAACTAAGTTATCTTGCTTGATCGTACAAACAATCCATCTACCTGTATCTGCTGTAAATACTTCAATTACATCCCCTTTAAACTTATGAATCAAAATGGCAACTCCCGCTGAACGGTTTGAGCCATGGCTGAAGTAAATATTGTTACCCCACTGACTCTTCCAGAATTTCACATCAGCATCATTTGAATGAGTTTCTTGAAGGAATATGAACTCAGCATCACTTCTTTTAAGAAATAAAAACAGTGCTTTCCTTTTAGTTGAATCACGAATACCCCTGACATTCAATGAAGTTACATTTAAAGATGATAATTGAACCATAAGAACACACACAAAAAAGAGCTCTCTTTCGAACAGTAGCTAAAACTTTAGACTTGCTTTAGATCAAAGAACGAGAAAGCAGCTAGACAACCATGAAATAAATGTCTAATTTTGTGACCAAGAATTAACTTTCAATACAATGCAAACAAAAATTATGCCAAGATAATTACTTGCATGTTAATAGGCAGAGTACTGAAATATTACATAATTTTGAGGCAAAAAGAATGCACTTATAATATTATTTCAGTATTGCCAAAGCATAAAGGTGCTGGAGAGTAGAATGAGGCTAAATGTAGTGCACCAAATGCATTACTTCACATCCCAGTGGTTAATCTTCTTCCCATCGATTAGCGCGAAGGGACCGATGAGGGTGGCTCTCTTCCCTTCTTTCCTGGCTTTGTCCACCAGGGGCCAGAGTTTCTCTCTTGCAAGTCTGTCCTCGGGAGACAGCGCTTGAGTGAGACGAAGCTTGTTGTCGCGGAGAAATTTGCAGCCTTTGGCACACTTCCACACAGCATCAAGGATACGGCGAAGAGCAAATAGGATGATGACTGGTCTGTTGGATCCATCCGTTCTCTTTGGGCCAAGACGATGAGCGATATCCACACCATCCTCCAGGTAAACCTGCAAACCGGGAGCGACTTTCCCTAGGACGATGATGACTTCTTTCCTCACATCTTCATTCACATTTTCTTTGAGGCCATGTAGTTTTAGCGACCATCTCCAACTGTACCGCTTGCACTCTTCCACCGCTGTTTTAAGAAGCCGGTTCTCCTCCTTCAGCTTCACAATTTCAGACTGAACATCTTTTATATTCTTCCCGTGACGGTCAACATCCACCACAACCCGCGCCACCGTAGCTGTCAGATTTGCCATTTGTTTGGATGTATTTTCCATTGTTGCTTCAATAGCTGAAACTTTCTGAAAAGTTTCATCTTGCTTTCTGGACAGCTCCTTCAGTGACGCTAGCACATCACAAAGGCTAATTGCCTCATTCTTGGCGCCGTCCCCGTTACTATAAATTTTTTTCCGTTTGTGGATAGACTTTTCAGCTGCATTAACAGGTGTACTGTTCTCGTTGACATTTACAGCACCCTGAACCTTGTTCTCACTGGTTTCCATTTCTTGTGTGGATATCTCCCCCGTTGGCTTCTGTACTTCACAGTTTCTTTCCATTTTGCCGTCGGGAAATATAAAAGCTAGCTTCTTGACTTTTTCCCGCGCCTCAATTAAAATGTTGTTTTTCCTCACCTTAAGCGAAACTTCAGACCAAAAAGTGTTCCAACAGGGTTTCGTCACTCAAGCTTTCAATAGTATTAGGTCACAGTCCCATTTGGTTGTCTTTTTTGCGATTTCTCAATTTATAGACAGGGGAGCAACGCTGTCATCATGTCAAGCGGCCCCCTCCTCGACTCCCATAAGCAACATCGCCTAGTTTATACTCGCGCGGCGCGGAGCTTGTGACGTGACGTCACTTGCGCAACGCGTTGGTCACCGCAAGGCCCTTACGTCGCCTGCCGCGCAGCATCGAAATTTTCTAACTACGTAAGGGTCGCCGCAAGGAATCTCCGCTGTGATTGGTCCGTGTGTGTGTATTGGAAGGAAGCATGAAGCGGCTGCAGCAGGGACATGGACGAGGCACTATGGAGCAGAGAGCTTTGTGCTTCGAAGGAAAAGCAGTTTGGGCTCAGAGCCTGATATACAGGAGACAGTGGACTATCTAACATATATATAACTTATAAACTGTGCAGACGTTTGTTTTGCACTGTTCCTGTCTTTGTTTGAATCGTAGCTGCGTTTGTTGCTTTCCTCCTGCACTCGTGAATCGTTCATGTTTGTCTCAGATATTTACCACTATTATTGTTTTGCTGTTTGTGCTGAAAACTATTTAATAATAACTATGTTTCCAACAAGAACTGTGTCTTTATTCACAGCATCACAGTTGAAATGACTTATAAAATAATGAATCCATAAAACTATCACATAAACCTACAGTAGAAACACATGTAATGAGCTCAAACAGCTTTGTTTGCTATTGTTGCTCTGAAGAGGACAAAGTAGCAGCGTAAATGGGACCGCTCCATGGATGTATTATATTAACTGGATAGGGTATTACGAGCTTGTAGCTGAATAACTCACGTGCTCAGGGGATTCTCGCGGTACTGCAGACTGAACCAGACTAAATTCACGTGGGCTACCCAGAAATTTTCCCCATAGAACTCAATGCATATTAAAACAGCTCGACCTCAGCTGACAGAGAACCTACAGCTTTCATAAAGATAGAATTTTGTGGGGATTTTAGTGTCCCTTGTCATCCTGAACTTTTTTTCTTCTTAAATCCTTCGGTTTTGTTTAAATCCACACTTTAGTGCCACAAACTCTGCTCCTCTGGCTCACGCTCTAACTCCCGCTCTGATGAACTGCTCTGATTGGTCAGAGCGCGGCCGAGCCCCTCTGTGCACGTGCGTGAGACCCGGTGTGAGACCCACACACGCGTGTTTGGCGCAACGCATTATGGGAGATCATCCACTGCGCAGAACCGGGAGGACCAGACGATGCCCAAATACAGGCGAGTTTCCCATAGATCTTTGCGAGTTTCAGGCAACTTCCGCTAATCTTTCAGCCCCCATGCTGTCACAAAGCGCCACTGAGCACAACCATTCATTTGAATAGGGCGCCATCTTGGATCGCCGGGGCTTGGACCGCTCCTGTGTGATCGCCCTCATGTGGTTTGTTGTGGAATTACAACATTCTCCTCAAAACTCCGTAAGGGGAACGCGCCAGTATAATATCAATTGTGCTTACGTAGGTCCACCGCAACCGCTAACGTAAGCCTCGCCGCGCAAGTATACACTAGGCTTTACCTCTTCCTCTGAGAGTCGATAACCTCCTTTGAATCTCTGGTGTTTTCTGGTTGAATCAGTTTCACCATTACCTTTGGGGAGATCAATGGTGTAGGTTTGGTTCCAATCTTGGTGGGGACATTCACTACGACCTAAGTCTACACCCATTGACACGGGGTCCAGAGTTTCTCCCCCAGAATTTGTTGTGTAATCACACACTATATTTGCAATAGTGTGTTGCCTTCTATACTAAACTCAGCTGTAGACTGAATGAGAAGCAGTTAAGGATTTTTTCTAATCGTTAAAACAAAATCAATTGGATCAGAACTTCTGAGTTTTGTGTTGCGTTCATTCTAACTTTGTCCACAAGATGGCTTAAATGTTTATAGTAAATAAGATAGTAAATATATCCTGTATTCAGGATCAGGCTGATATGGTTTACAACCTATCTCAAATATGCTGTCCCTGGCACTTTCTTGAGAGTGACTCTCATTGGCTGCCTCCTAAATAGCAAATACACTGTTATGAAACTTTAAAAAATCCCATATTTTATCTTCATAATTCCAGCCTCATCTGAAGCCCAGCTTCGATATCTGCCTGCACTACATCTTCCCTGAATACCCGAGTTCCCTATAATAAATAAAACACATGTAGTGCATTAAACAAATCAGATCTAAGCATATACAAAATAAAACCACCAACAAAACCAAATAAATACTTTCAACCTCACCTGAAGCCCTGAAGGTCCAGCCACTTCCTCATCCTCTACCAGCACTGCACATTCCCTGTTTGTCTGACTTTCCTTTATGGTATTAATAAAAACACACATTCTACATTGAATAAAATGAAACCTAGGCATGGTACACCAGTCGCTAAATATCTCATGAAACTAGGATTGGTTGATGGGTCTAAGATTTTAACTGCTTAAAGGCACACCGTGTAACTCTTGGCCACTAGGGGCGCTAGACCTGCAACTTTCACGTTTAGCGCCCCTAGTGGCCACAAGCAACTCAGCACTGTCGCAAAAGTCAACAAACAGTCAGCCGGTGTCTTTTGAGTGTGTATTCAGACAGCATGCACTGGTGTGTGTGTTCAAACTGTAGAGACATGCCTACAGATATTGAGAGACTCTGCTGTGGTCAGCCTCCAGACCGCTGCATTAGTAATCTACCACACATGGACTTCTATATCCTGGATGAGGGAGTTCTGCGTCTAGCTCGTGCTGCGTGGAATGACATCTTTGCAGTCGATGACATCCAGGAACCAGGTGAAGAGCAGCGCTCATACAGACATGCAGCTTACAGCACGATCCCTTTCGCGTTTCCTCTTTTTAGCCTCCTCCGAAGGTTTAAAATTTTTCCTTGCCTCAGCCATGACCAGGAGTCGAGCAGGTGAAAAATGAGTAGCAAAAGCCTTAGCTCCATGAGTATATCAGCGCCTGTAGCCGTAAAGCAAGTGTTTCTTCCAAGTCACGTGACCTGGTGGCAGACGGTCCGTCTGCTCGAAACTTACATGGGCGGTATTTCAAGAGGGCAGCCCCGCTCGGAGCATTGCAAGTGTCAAGCGCTGTATATTGGCCCAAGTATTCATATAAAATAACTCATATGTGTCAACTCTTTAGGTCACAAAGTCCGCGGTGTGCCTTTAACCCTAACCTCACCTGGAGTCCTGTCTTGTCCTTGTCTTTATCTCCTTCTTGAATTTCCATTATATCTCTCAGAGTGTCCTATATTTAGTAAAAGATTTCAGACAACACTTTTTGCATCATTATAGTAGTAAAATATGTTGTAATTGGCATAGGTAATTTCCAACCAAATGATGTTCTTTAACTTTAGTATGATTCTATACTGACTTAAACCTAATCCAAATCTACATAATAGCCCTCACCTGAGGCTCTAACAGTTCAGGAACTGCTCTCGATACTTGAAATAAATCATGTTCTGATCTTTCAATTTCCTATAATAAATAAAAACAGAGGAGAAAATATTGAATTAGAATCTACAGTGAGTAGCTCACTACATTGTTTGACATATACGATCAATCTCTAAAAACAATTCATAGTCCCATGCATACCTACAAAATTCCAACCTCGCCTGCTGCACTGAAGGGCCTGTTGCTTCTACCTCAACATTCCCTATATTGTTCTCTCTTGTTGGTTGAGTTTCCTATGTATGTTAACAGAAGATTAATCATCACAATTCATAATTTGCTATTACTTGTGCTTTCTCTTACTTACTTTCCAACTGTTAAAAAAGCTCCTGATATCTTTTATCTTTTTTTGTGGAGGTGGCATTTTTTCTAAATTATATAAGAAGGTATAGACAATCAAAAACAGACATTCATATACATGAACTGCAGAATCATTTATATAACTTGGCCAATGTCAAAAGTTACATAGTATTTCTCAATACAATGAGTTAACAAGAGTTTGGCAATAAGTAACAGTGTGGATTTTTCTATATTTTCTTTTTTTTATTCCACTCTCTACCCAAAAAGGCAAGTAATGACTCACAGGGTTCTCAAGTATTCAAAATAAAAACTTAAATGACCTGTTGTGGTGTGTTTTGCGCACAACCAGCATGCATCGTTAACGCAATGGAAAATTTAGGTATCCGAGCTTTAATTTCGGGAGCGCTGGTTGCGCTTTGGGAAGAGTCAGGGGAGAGACATGTCAGAGACACAGGGGAGAAACGCGGGAGATACGAGGGAGACCCGCACTTGCAACATGGTTCTGTCTGCATATGGTCCAAGCTCGGTACCATGTTAGAGCTGTGCTTTCACTGAGCGCCGCGGCTGTCATTACAAAGCGGCAGCAGCTGCACCAGGACGTGCACATTCGAGTGCATCGCTTGAATGTGCTTAGAGCAAATAGCAGCAAGTGCCCGCTGTCACACATTTCACAGAAATTACATTATCAGCAGATAAAGGTTGTAAATCGTGGATCCGTGGAATATTTTCATCACTAGTTTATCCTGATTCACACAACACACCCACTTATACATTTTGGATAGTAAGAGCACAATAAGTATTTTTTCAGCCTTTCAACCAACCTGTTTCTTTATTGGAGCCAGTTCTGTTCTGTCTCTGTGCCGTGTGAGCTCCTCGGAACATCAAACAGTGCGCTGACAGATTAGAAATAACGTAAGTACTTTGAATGGTAATAGATCTACAGTACTTTCCTCTGATTACTCACGTGCTACAACGCTCAAGGAACGAAAAAAAAACACTTGCTTCACGCTGGCTAACTTTTAAAAATTAAACAGTTGCTCAGTGCTTCAGTTTGGCGCTGAAGAAGACAGCCAATCACTGCAGAGAACGGAACGGGTCACGTGCTGCTGCTGCTGCTGTTGCTCTGGAGGCGAGGAGGAGGCGCGACGTATGCACAAACGGAAGACATGTGTCCCGGACCGTCCGGGTCACGGGACATCATGTCATTTTGGTGGGGACTTTTTAGTCCTCACCAAATATTGGTGGGGACATGTCCCCATGGTCCCCACGCAAACCTACGCCCTTGGGGGAGATTATAGGAGCTTTCTTGATTGGCACAAGCCCAGCATTGTCATTCTCACTGTTACAAATATAGATCAGGACATAAACGTTAGAACAGTTGATCTAGAAGGTGTTTGTAGAATCTGAATATCAAAGGAAGCAGAGCAGCACGACACGTACAGGATAAAGGGATGCTTCAGGATTTCAGTAGGAGTGATCCTCTCAATGCCATCAATAAAGAGCATGTACTCGGCCAGGTCCAAGCATTCAGTCAGCTCTTTAGGGTTCTGCAAGAAAAGGCATCATGCTATGAATACAACACATAACTCTAATTTCTAAAATATTTCCAAATTCCAGAAAATGTCCAACAATAAACTTACCGGGGCTAGTTTGGTCTCTGAAGGACATCTTTCAAAGTAAAGACGTGTTAAAATCGAACGTAAATTGTGCATGTCTTCAATTTCCTCCCTAACACAGTTATTATTCAATTTTATTCAGCACAAAGAGCAAAACAATAAGTGGTAAATATCTGAGACAAACATCAACTATTTACAAGTGCAGGAGGAATGGAACAAAGACAGGAACAGTGCAAAAGTAACGACTGCACAGTTTATAAGTTATACACATGTTAGACATATGTTAGGTATAAGTTATATATACTGTAAGTTAGATATGCAACAGAACTCTCGTCCACAGTCTCCGCATATATCAGGCTCTGAGCCACAAGCTCAAACTGCTTTTTCTTCGGTTCCTTCGAAGCGCAAAGACGTCTGCTCCGAAGTGCCTCGTCCATGTTCCCTGCAGCCGCTCCATGCTTCACAGAAAGTAATCACACACGGACCAATCACAGCGGAGCTTCCTTGCGGCAACCCTTACGTAGTTAGACATTTGAGGGTGCGCGGCAGGCTACGTAAGGGCCTTGCGGTGATCCACACGTTGCGCAAGTGACGTCACGTCACCACCTCCAGCGGGTGGGAGCTGCTAACAACAACACGGCGAACGATGCTGCTGTTACGTCATATCCAAGACCATACACGCACTGAACTATTCTCTGCTTGTTGTGTGCATGTCTTTAAGTAATTTGTGCATGCAATAAATCCTCCTCTGAAGCTGGACCATCTCAAGTCAAAAGGGCAATAGCATCATGACTGACTTTGGCAATTAGATTTTTCAAGTTGAGCAATTGTGGTGTTGCAATGTCTCTTTAACGTAAAACAATAAATACCATGCACAGTTTTTGGCCATAACAATGACATGTCTTCAGTGGAAAATATTTGGTGCAACAAGCATCAGGGGTAAAAATGCGATTGTCCTGCTCTATCCCTATATTACCACCAGACGGAGGAATTTAATTTAATTTGTCTTGAAATTGACCCGCTGTGGGATGAATAAAGATTCGTAATCTTTCAATTGAAAACATTCTCAAAAACTCATTTGGGGCCAATACCTTTTGTTTGAAATGGCAGAAAACTGTCATAGTGGTACAATGACATTACAGGACTAAGACAGGAGCTTTTTTTAAGACGCAGAGTTACATGTTTGTGCCAGAAGTTCCTTATATTTGCATGGACGGCTCCATGAATTTTTTTACTGAGGGTGCAAGGTGGTTAATTTTTCAACGTCACCATTTCACCAAATAGAGGTGTGGGTATTGTGAGAACACCCTCTTACCTGTATGCGAGCTGCTGCACCCTCATGCCTGCCTTGGCCTTCTTTTTCCGAATCACAGAACCAAAATCAGCCAGTTTGATTCTGGGAGATTGTGCGGTCAGACTGCAGATGAAGATGTTTTCTGGTATGACCCCAGTGTGGATTAAACTCTTGCACTCCAGGGCTTGTAGCGAGCTGCTGCACCCTCATGCCTGCCTTGGCCTTCTTTTTCCGAATCACAGAACCAAAATCAGCCAGTTTGATTCTGGGAGATTGTGCGGTCAGACTGCAGATGAAGATGTTTTCTGGTATGACCCCAGTGTGGATTAAACTCTTGCACTCCAGGGCTTGTAACGCAGTGGCCATCTGAAAAAGTTGTCACATTATTACTGATTAATAATACATGGAAGAAAGACATGTTAACCTTTTAATATGAGATACTTAAATACCTTAAAAACCCTTTAAATATTTGAAAATATTTAAAGGGTTTGGAGACTGGAGACTCCTGCATTAGAGTAAACAATTCTTACCTGCTTCACAATGGTTTGGATGTGGCCCAGTGGAAGAGCGTGGTACATGTCCAAGTAGGCTGATAAATTCACATCAAAACTTTCCATCACCAGCATCGTTCCATGACTGGTTTGGATCGAGTCTATGAATTTGACGATGTTTCTATGATCCATCCCAGCGTCTAAGATCTTCTGGAGCAGCCTGACCTAAATGGGACAGCAATGGTTTGAGTGAGTTCAAACCAGTGAGATGAACATTTATGCACATTGAATTCCCCTTAATATTTTAGACCAATGATGCTTGAGTGTGTTTCTTTTGTAAGATAAAACTTTATACAAGTTTATAAAAGGGTTCCAATTGTTTAATAATGGTTTATAATACTTCAGAGAAAAGATTTTACAACAAATCACAGGCCAATCACAAACTGAGAACCCAGAATTCATTTCTATATCCACTAACAAGAATATTCAAAATGGCGTTGAAGTGATAGTCACACATGAATACGTACCTCGCGCTGAGTCCGGTTGTTGGAGTGTGGAACCTTGATTGTCACAAACTTATCGATGTTTTTACATTTGACAAACTGGCCGAACTTTCCAAGGGCCAACATAGTTGTGACAACGTATTCTTCAGGAAGAATGTCATTTATCTCCAAACAAGTCAAAGGCCTAAGCACAGACAAAAACAGTTACGTAAATGACTTTGCCCTTGAGCTATTTCCTCCAATAGAAGCTAATATTTCTTACTTGTGCTCATCCTCTTCCTCGCTGTGATCTGAATTTGGACTGTTATCCAAAGCCTCCCTTCTGTTGAGAAAAAAGTGATTGTTGGAAATGTATACTGGCATTTCACTTTGGAGAGACCCATGAGGAAGATGCCGTTAGACTTATTAGATTTAAGCATGTTTATGATTGAGCATGTTTGGCGCCCTAGGCCCGGGAGGGATGCTGTTGAGCACGGCGCTTGCTCGCGTGCATAATCCAGAAAAAGCGGGCCTGCAATTGGGATAGCAGGACGTACTGCACGGGCCTGAGAGCATGAGTAATGCTGCGTTCAGACCAAACGCAATTTGGGCGGCGAAATCGCCCGTGCCGCGCGTGCCGCAATGCTTGTGCTTTTTGACTCCAGACGCTGGACCAAACACTCTGCCGCGCGGCACGCGCGGCCGATCAGAAAACAGCGCGCTTTGGGGAGGGGCTTCTTTATTGCCATAGTTCAACATGGACGACATAGAGCAGGTAGCTTTGCTTTGCCTTTTGAACCGTGCTAGACAACGTCGTCAAAGGGCGCAACGGCGACGTGTGTGGATTCATCCGATTGTCCGCGGGCGTAGGGAGTTTGGTGAGTTTCACCATTTGCTACAAGAGCTGCGCTCGGATGAGAGTCGCTTTCAGCGGTACTTCCGTCTCTCCCTGGCCCAGTTTGACGACCTGTTGACCCGCATCGGTGCTCGCATCACCTACCAGGACACCAACTACAGGCGCTCAATTCCACCTGAAGAGCGCCTGTCCATCTGCCTACGGTAGTTTTACCCCATTCTCAATTATTAAATACTTCCAAAGTGTGCAATTTTTCTACCTATTCACATTTGAATAGCTCAGAAATTACTATATTTAACAATATGGCGTCTGCTTGTTACTAATTTTATATTGAATATCAAGACTAGTCACATACATTATCTTATTTTTAATTGTTATGTACAATATTATTTGCAGATTTCTTGCCACTGGGGACTCCTACAGGAGCATCGCAGGGAGCTTCAGGGTGGGCATTTCCACTGTCTCCGGGCTCATCCCAGATGTGGTGGCAGCCATCTGGGACTGCCTCGTGGGAAAGTTCATGGCTGTGCCTGGAGCAGAGGAGTGGAGGTCGATAGCGGAGGAGTTCGAGGCCAGGTGGAACTTCCCTCTGTGCTGTGGTGCCATTGATGGGAAACATGTGGCCCTGAAGGCACCCCCCAACTCTGGGTCCTTGTTTTTTAATTACAAGGGGCACCATTCGTTGGTTCTCCTTGCTGTAGTGGATGCCCAGTACAGGTTTCGGGTCATCGATGTGGGAGGGTACGGCAGAACCAGCGATGGAGGCATCATGGCCAACTCTGCCTTCGGTCAGGCTCTGCGTGAGGGCACACTCGGCCTGCCTCCTGACCAGCTCATAACTGGAGCTGACCACAGAGGACCCCAGCCCCATGTCTTTGTGGCGGATGAGGCCTTTCCCCTGCAAAGGAATTTAATGCGCCCCTTCCCAGGACGTGGTGGCCTCACCCCAGAGCAGCGCATATTTAATTACCGCCTCTCCCGGGCCCGGCTGGTGGTGGAGGATGCGTTCGGCATATGGTCAGCGCAGTGGAGAATGTTTCGGCGTCAGCTGGAAATTGTCCCTGAAGTTGTGGAGAAGTGCGTGAAGGCCACTTGTGTCCTTCACAACTTCATGAGGATGGCTGGAGATGGGCAGGTGCCTGCACAGAGGGGAGCTGCAGCTCATGGAGAAGCACCACTTCCAGGTGTGCTGCGGATGGGAGCCAACAACGCGACCAGAGAAGCAGTGGGCACAAGAGAAGTTTTCATGGCCCACTTCAGTGAGGAGGGAGCAGTGCCATGGCAGTAATCATGTCCACCACAGGACTGACCCACAACGGCTCTTTTAAGAGCCACCCACAAAAAATTAAGAGTCACTTCATTTCAAACATGTAATATACTGAGCCTCTTGATTATTAAAATGTCGACATGTTTCCTGGTCATAGTCCAAACTGTTCACCTGTATTCCTTCTGTTTGTAGGTAAGGGCTGCCAGACCGCACTGCTCCATCTGACTTCGGATGAATCACAACGTGCACATTCAAGTTTGTCCCAAATAAGGTTGTTCAAACAGGTGAAATGAATAAAACATACAGTCAACAACTTTGTCGCTCTTGCCTATGTTTTTGTAAGTTATTTTTTCTTTTATAAACCCAGTCTGCTCTTGCTAAATACATATAATTAATGGAAATAGCCTTTTGTCAGTATTTTATGACTTTGTAATAATGGGCTTGAAGTAGAACAATTTAGTGTTTTGAAAAATGTTTTAATAATACAAATATAAAAAATAAATAAAATGTACATACAAACAAATAAAATGTACATCAAAACAAATAAATAAAATGTACATATAAACAAATAAAAAGGACCTTGCTTGGAGGAGGAGCAGTGGAAGAGGGAAGGACACAAGTCTGTTTCCTCCCCTGCAAAAGATGTCGCCTTCAGTCAAAAAACTACGACTCTGTGCTGTCCAATGGTTCCAAATTAAGCAGAACGGTGCTGCTTCTATATAGCAATTTGTGTATTTCTAATTTCACATAGTCTTTTGACTGAGGTGGCACCTTTTGCAGGAGAGGAAGGAGAGAGAGCAGGAAGTGCTGGTCGTCAGAGTAGGGCTGGGGTGGTGCGGCTGCTGATCTGGCCCGAAGAGTCGACAGGATCTCCCGCTCCCACTCCGCCGGCTCTGAGGTCGTGGGCCTCTGCCGAGCTCTCTTCCTTTGTGGGCCTTCAAAGAACACAGGGACATGAGAATGTTGACAAGTCAAACATAGTTCGCCACAAAATATAAAGATAGCATCAAACACTATAGCGGTCATCTTGTGGCAACCATTGCATGTATTTGTTCAGTACATTTTTGTATGTGGTATTTTAGTGTTATGTTTTTATCGAGTAAAGATACATTGGATCAGGTCAAAGCACAAATGCTCATCATCTGTAGTGCCTTGACATCTTGTGGTTTCACTGTACATTTGTCTATGGTCTATAGTGATATAATAGCCTTTGGGACAATGTTGGTGTATTATGCAGTAACACTGTCCTGTAATATTAAGAATTTAAAAAATACCTGTGGGTGCAGAAGCAGGGGAAGCGTCAGCCCTCACAGAAGAAGCAGCAGCAGCAGCAGCAGGAGGCTCAGGCAAAGGGTTATCTGAGCCTTGAGTGGTGTTGTCTGTCAGGCAAGAACAAAACAAAGTTATTTCATAGCATGTGTATGTTGAGGTTTATACATTACATTAGTTCATTTGAAAGGGAACAGTGAAGTTTCACATCACACATGATCAAAAATTGTTTAAAAATAACAGGCAAAGCCTAGTTTCACCTGGCTGTCATTTAAAAACAAACTGTCAAATAAGTTAATTAATAGAAATCAATATATAAGTAAAAGCCAGCAAAATGGAGGTAAAAACACGATATAATTGGTGTTTGAGGTCTGCTGCATGACACAGACCTTCACCTCCTGACAGTCCTGCTGCTGCTGCTGCTTCTCCTGGGTGGTCGTCCGCTACGACCGGCTCCTCCTCGGCCCCTCGCCTCGCCATGTTGCCCGAGCTTTCACGGGGAGACAAGAAGGGCTCGAGGAAGGACATGACCGTTAGGAACTTCCACTGCTGCGCTGTCCCTGCTCCTGCACCACTCTTTCTCCTGTCCTTCTCCTTCCTGCACTCCTTTGCATAGGTGTCCCTCAGACTCTTCCACCGCCTTTTGCATACATCCACTGAATCAAAACATGAGCGGGAAAGTAAGCGGGAAGCTAGTAGTTGCTCGAACATTACAGAATTCTAGCGGGGAAACATACTGTTGTAAAAGTTAGAGAAAACTTACCCGGGACACCAATATCCTCACTAACCCTCCTCCAAGCAAGGTCCTTTTTTGGCCTGTCACGGTAGCTGTACTCCGCGGGGTTGTACAGCTCGGAGTGAGCGGCGACAGCAACAACCAGCTTCTCCTCCATGTTGTAGAATGTTTGTCTTCTCCTATCGTGACGTCACTTGGTCTCTGTTGGAGAAAGCTCCTGATTGGTCGACGCTCGCGATCTGAGCGAAAAAGTTCAACAATGTTCAACTCCAGCGTCGGCCGCTCACATCGCGTCCACCGCTCACATCGCTCAAAACGCTTGAAGACTCGCCGCGCGTGCCGGTCGTGCCGCGCCGCTTGATCGCTCGCCGCTCCCTGAAGCGCGTCCCCCATGTATTGTCAATGTAATCCTGACGCTCTCGCCGCCCAAATCGCGTTTGGTCTGAACGCGGCATAAGGCTTCTCGCACGGTCGCTTCGGCCGGCTGCGTCCGCTGGGGCCCGTGTTTGTTTAGGCAGAGCGAGCTGAGGATATGAGCGTGCTCATATTCAGCTAGACGCTGAAGCAGAGGAATCTTTGAGCGAACTGGGAACATGCGCGCACGCGCATGTTCAGCCAGTCGCAGCGCAGGGGAGTCTTTGAGCGAGCTGGGAATATGAGATGCACGCTCATATTCGCCAGACGCTGAAGCCAAAAATCTTTGAGCAAACTGGGAACATGCGCGCACGCGCATGTTCAGCCAGTCGCAGCGCAGGGGAGTCTTTGAGCGAGCTGGGAATATGAGATGCACGCTCATATTCGCCAGACGCTGAAGCGCTGCAGCAGAGGAATCTTTGAGCGAGCTGAGACATGCGCGTTTGAGGAAAGTGCGTGCCGCCACCAGAATATATTGCTTACTTGCTTTGCTGGGAGCTTACGAGAAAGCCGGTAAACGTTGAGCGGCCATGATAGCGGTCGCATCTGGCCTGATGTAGGTGGAGAAAGCCGAAGAGGACCAGCGCCCCAGCTGTTGTAGAGAAGAGTGGGGGAGCCCCAGCGAGGCCGCGACCACTGGGAATGTCTCGTGTAGGGCAGAGGAAATGCTCCGGGGAAAAGTAGCGGGCCACGGCCCCGCCAACCACTGGTCCTGGGAGAACCCCCCAAAACCCACGGAAGGGGCAGCGGCCGTGTAGAAGCGGAGACCTGTAGGGGCAGAGAGACATACCGAGGAGGGCCAATGATGTTGCAGGCGCCCTTACGCTTAGAATCTGGGGTTGGAGATTAGATAATCAGGACAGTAGGATAGGTCGGGAAAGCGTGTCTCGGACCGCATTGAAGGTTGAGTGAGCAGTAGTGAAACGCTTATGCAGAGAAGCCATAGAAGGCGAGCAGGAAGATGCTGCGAGGAGGGCAGACATGTACTTGGACGATGAGCCGGAGTTCAGTGCCGCTCAGAGCTGCTGCAGGATGGGCGGCAGGATGGGGAGCCTGCAATCAGAAGAGTGAAAAATACGGGTACGGATGCCTTTGAGTAGGAGTTTGATTGACAGCTCAGCAGTAAAGAGAGATGTAAAGTGAAGAGACGTCAAAGTAAATGAAGCAGTAGCAGCAGCAGTAGTTGCAGCAGTGGTTGCAGCAGTGGTTGCAGCAGTAGCAGTAGCAACAGCAGCAGTTGCAGCATCCTTAGATAATAACAGCAATAATCCTGTATCAAGGCCACAGCAGTAGAAATTGTTGTAGCTGTTTAGTGTTTCAGAAAGAGAGATGTAAAGGGAAGAGAGATGTCAAATAAATGAAGCAGCAGCAGCAAGCAGTATGAAGCTTCCAACGTGGTTTTACTGCAAGTGGCAGAACATGAATCTGAATTAATGCACGTGCTCCTCTTATATCCCTCAGACGATGGATATTGATACCATTTAACATGCGTTGCCCCTCAGTTAGCTCAAACACAAGTGAAAACGAAGCCTGCAGTCCAGTGTACGGGGCAAAAACCAAGCCCGCAGTCCAGACTCCGGGATTAATCCGTCCGCGGTCGGCACACTCACTGTACTCACATGCCAGGAGACTTGGGAAAAGCAACGGGACAACGCGGCACCGCCAGACCGTCTGCGCGCGGCAGCAGACCACGAGGAACGAGCAGCACAGAACCCGCGGAGGGCCCCACGGAGAGCCCGCAGAAAGAGCCCGCAGAAGACGAGAGCAGTGGAGACGCGCAAACCACAGCAGGCAGGGACGCAAAGGAGGAGCAGACCACAAGCAGCCAGACTGAGGACAGCCGGGCCACGCGCACGAGCAACACGTGAGCAGAAGCGACCCCTCCAGAACAACGCATGCATTTGCGAACAGGTGCGTTAGCGACATGCACCTTGCAGACTTCAGAAGGCCGGAAAGTGGGCATCTCCGGCTTTTAACTTGCTGTCCTGGTGGTTATTGGTTGACTGGATGTGGGCGTTGCTGGTATTGATGAGTCGAGGAAGAGCAGCCTGTGGCCTGGGCAGCAACAGCCGGGTCTACCACAGTGAACTTTCGCGAAGCTCCATTTCACATGGATCTATTGGTCCAAGGATGGGACAATAAGCCCAGGGTTAGGGTTGTGGAAATAAGTCCATCTACGACCATCAGCGGTAGAATGAGATCAAATATCCACCAGAGATGAGATTCTGACAAAATGTTTGCCTTTGTTATGTTTGAATACAATGTTTGTCCACAGTACATCTAACTGACTCATTTTTATTTAACTATAATTGGTGAATAATCTATTCGCATTCACTAAAAGCATGTATACACAGCATAAGAATATTGCAATACTAATATGAGTACATAAAAAATCTATTCTATTCTGCCCTATTTCCAAGCTTGTCTGACCAGCCTGGTACGGTTTACATATAGAGGGCTGCTATCAACAAATGAGGCGGCTTTGAACTTTGCTTCTTTTCTCAACTTTGTAATTGTAAGTGTAACAATAAATGCTATCACACAGAGTACAAACGCTTCACATAACAAAACCAAAATAAAGCCGCAAGCAGCATTGAATGAATCTGGTACAACCGTGCAACACCGTAGACATCATAAAAAATTGAAGCTATTTTTTGTGAAACATTCAAGTCAAGAGTCAACGTACTTTTCAAAACAGATTGCTCGGTGTTGCAGGATTTGTTTGGGAGTAATCCTATTGTTCATGTCCATGTCCAACAGCTTTTCGAGGAGGTCTAAGGCTGGTTCTGTGTTCACCTTATCCTCCTGCACAGCATCCTAGAAACAAGTAAGGAACAGGTCAGTGTTGTCTCCACTTCACAGTTTGGAGGAAGGTAAAGCGACAGTATTACCATGGCAAGCTCTCTGAGGGAAGCAAAAGATTCTGAATAATTTTCCTCTCTTTTAGCCTTCACACAATCCTTAATGTCCTCTCGAGCCTAGAAGAACATTACAATGACATTATTTGAAATGTTTTTTTCATTTTGAATGGCAAAAGCCTAAACAGAATGAATATATTCACCCTTAAATCCCATCCAATGGGACCTGGACGGTAAAACTTCATGGTATTACTCCCTTTACTGAGGATGAGGTCAGGAGGAGGGCCAAGGAGTTTGTGCATCACTCTCAGCTATATCCAGAAAAAGACACATTTGTGTTAGCACATTCTAGGAAACATTACTCACAGCTTGTACAGTTCGTCCAGTGACTTACCACCTCATACTCCACATTAGGGAACAAATGAAACCAAAGCCACATTTGAGACATCATGACTCCCAGACACCACACGTCCAGGCCTTCATTCCAACCAGAGTCTAAAATGACTTCTGGCGGCCTGCGGAGGAGAACAGAGTAATTCAAAAATATGATCAAAACTTGATACTCAAGCGAGTAGGTAACTCTTCCAGTCGCCCCCTGCTGGTTATAGCTGCTGGTGCCTGACTTACCTGTACATCGCGTGGTGGACCGTCAACAATTTGTAAGTCTCACTTGTTGGCATGGTCAAACCAAAGTCGATAAGTTTGACGTGCAGAGGCCTCTCACTATGGTTCACCACCATCACATTGTCCATCTTCAAGTCACAGTGAACCAAGGAGCGCTCTCTGAGCACGCCCAACGCTGTGGCCACCTGCAGCAGAAAATCATAAATCAATAATGGTTCCCAAATTCAGTGTTTTAAAAGGACTAATAACCTGTTGCACAATGGTGAAGATGTCCGGCAGAGGCAGAGGATTATATTTATTCACGAGTCCCACCAAACTCATGTCCAACAGTTCAAACACCATGGCTCCCCCCAACCTGGTGTCAAACACCTCAATGAACCTGACGATGTTTTGCTGGTCCATCCTCTCTTCCATCAGCTCCTGAAGCAGGGCAATCTGAACACACAGGGCAGACAGGTAAGTTAGACGGCATAGATTTAGTTGTCTGTAATGGGGATGTTTTCAAAGTTGGGTTCAAGTTTGAACCATTATTAAACCAGTGAGAGGTGACTTTGACTAGAACACTTTTAGTGGTTGGATGAACAAGGAGTGTCCTCTTGAGACACTCTGAGGTGTCCTCCGTTGCCAGCGCTGTGCTTTAAGTCCTGGAGACTAGAAGGGCTTTCTGCTCACGTTCACGGTTATGCTGTTTGTAGAAAACTTTTGTCCTGAAGAGTGAACGTAACACTCATTTGGAAAGAGTGTGAGGATTACACATTGTGCACGGGCAGCTAAGGACCAGACAGTGGGAGAGTCCTACTTTACACATAGAACACTCACCCTTTGGAGACAGGGGGAGGATCTCGGAACTAACCATTTGTGCAGGACCCTACCTACCCTCCTATTACCAGCAAACACCAGGGATTGCATGTTCAGACTTTTGTACATCATGTGCTGTACAGATGCAGTCAGTGATTTTTGGGACTTCATGGAGACCGGGAGATTAGCTGAACTTGCCTATATTTGGGCATCTTCTGGTCCTCCCGGTTCTGCGTATTGGATTACCGCAACGCATGATGGGAGATATCTCCCATCATGCGTCGCGCCAAACGTGTGTGTGTGGCTTTCATGCACGCGCACAGAGGGGCTCGGCCGCGCTCTGACCAATCAGAGCTGATCATCAGAGCAGCGGAAGAGCGGAGCCAGAGCGGGAAGGCAGGGAGCAGAGTTTGTGGCAGTAAAGTGTGGATTGCATGAAAACCGAAGGATTTAAGAAGAAAAAAAATCCCCACAAAATCCGATCTTTATGAAAGCTGTAGGCTCTCTGTCAGCTGAGGTCGAGCTGTTTTAATTTACATTGAGTTCTATGGGACTTGTTTCTGGGTAGCCCTTGTGAATCTAGTCTGCAGTTCCACGGGCGCCCATAGGTGGGACAGCTATAAGCTAGTAATACCCTATCCAGTTATTATTATACATCCATGGGGTGGACCCGGAATAAGAATTAGCCCATGCTAACATATAGCATTGGCAGACCTCTCAAAAACGTCTTTACAGGATGGTCCAAAAGTTGGCTCTTGGCCCAAAGCTCTGTTCCACATGTGTGTCAATGCTGAGGGCGGTGAATTTTTTTGGACCACTCTGGTTTACTCGCTGTGATTTTTGGAAGTTACTCATTCAAATGAATGGAGCTCTCGTCGGCTGACGCATGCGCAGATGCGTTTTTTTGTGGGCGGGACAACTCGCGGCCTTTATGGATAGCTCCAGTAGAGCACTATTTTTGGCCCATTTGTTTGAACGGCGGAGATAGGCGTGACTGTACGTTAATATATACAGTCTATGGTACACGTAGGGTTGCCAACCGTCCCTTGAAATACGGAATTGTCCCGTATTATAGAAAAACTATGTGCATCCCGTATTGAACTGATACGGGACAGCTTTTGTCCTGTATTTTCAGAGCGACCTTAAATGCATCACTCACTCACTGCATGTCACACCCGCACACACAGTAATGATCACAGTTTAAGCGTCTACCTTTCGGCCAAAAGGTGTCAGTGTCAAAGGGGCCTAGGCTTGATCAGATAAGTTGGTTTAATGTTGACAATCGCCAGTGTGGGCCGTGCCCGCAGCATCATCACAGCAGAAGTTTGGGAAAGTAGCGTCATTTTCCCAAATTCGGACTTCCGCGGTCAATAGCTCACAAAAGCTACTTTGTTAAACAAAAGTAATTTTGCTAAAATGATCATCTCTACGTTGATTTTACAAATTCAATGCGCTGTTTTAATGCAGAGAAATCCTCTGAATCCAATGCACTGCAAGCGCCGAGAAAAGCACTTAGGGACCGTCAACAAATATCCAGACCAGCTTTGTAAACAAACAATAGCTTTTACTGAAGCCACAAACTTGCAGTACCTGCACAAAACTCTCAGACAATATAAATAATGATGACCATATCGAACTGCTACAGACTTTTTTAATTTAAGTTTTTTTAATGAATACATATGTTTTCTTTATTTGCTTTTACAGAAATTGGTCTTTACTGTAACATTCATAAATAATGTATGTTACAGTATTTGTCTTTTTTATATTTTTTATTACTAATAAGAATGCATTAAGTCCTTAACCAGCCAAAGAGTTCCACCTCTTTATTCAATTTCATTTTTGACTAAGGATTTGTTTTTTTTTAAATATGTAGTCAATAAATTACAATCTAAAAACTGTGATTATGAAATTTCATGATTACTGCGTAGACTGAAATTAGGACTAAAAAGTGCTCAACCCAATCCACCCAAATGGTGTCCCTTATTTTTTTGTTCTCAAGTTGGCAACCCTAGGTACACGCACAAAACTCTGACACTATAAGTAATGTCGAACTGCTACAGACTTTGATTTCAACATTTGTGAGTTTTTAATATTTTAAATGTTTTTCTTACATACATAAATAATGTATGTTACAGCATTTGTCTCACACCTGATTTTCAAACTCAATATATATATATATCAGATTCTAATATATAAATAAGTAACACTCTTGACTATTTTATGCAAGAACCTGCTCGACCTATATTGAATTTCACACACCAAATTATACCGCAATATATACTGTATACCATCTGTGTCCCAAATTATACCGCAATATGAATTTTAGGCCGTATCGCCCACCCCTTGTCAAGAGCAGTGTTGGGTGTAACGCGTTACTGTAACGAAAATACAATTTGAGTAACGTAGTAGTGTAACGCGTTACTATGAAAATACGTTTAATTATAATACAGTTACTACCTAAATACTTCGTTTCCGGCGGCACCGGCCTCGGGAAAGCAGCGGAAAGCTGCACTACCGCTGCATGCGTTTGTAAAGCATGGCAGAGCCAGAGGAGAGGAATTCATTTTACCGGTGGAGATATGCACTATTTTATCTATATCAGTCAAAAAGATAAAAACGTTGTCGTGGAGTGCAAGCTTTGAGCGGGCAGCATGCGAATGCTCTGTTCACATGCTCAGCGCTCAGCGCACTGTATTTTCCCTGGTTCTTGACTGTCAGGCGTTAGGGCTGCTTGTGTGTGTATGTGGGAACTAATTATTTTAAAATAGTCTTTCAATTGCAAGTTTTGTAATAAGCTTTGTTTGTAAAAATAAATTTAATGTAACGGCACCTTGGCCTGTCTTATTATTACCAGTGTGCCTTGCAGGACAGTTCCCTTAAAGGCACACCGTGTAACTCTTGGCCACTAGGGGCGCTAGACCTGCAACTTTCACGTTTAGCGCCCCTAGTGGCCACAAGCAACTCAGCACTGTCGCAAAAGTAAACAAACAGTCAGCCGGTGTCTTTTGAGTGTGTATTCAGACAGCATGCACTGGTGTGTGTGTTCAAACTGTAGAGACATGCCTACAGATATTGAGAGACTCTGCTGTGGTCAGCCTCCAGACCGCTGCATTAGTAATCTACCACACATGGACTTCTATATCCTGGATGAGGGAGTTCTGCGTCTAGCTCGTGCTGCGTGGAATGACATCTTTGCAGTCGATGACATCCAGGAACCAGGTGAAGAGCAGCGCTCATACAGACATGCAGCTTACAGCACGATCCCTTTCGCGTTTCCTCTTTTTAGCCTCCTCCGAAGGTTTAAAATTTTTCCTTGCCTCAGCCATGACCAGGAGTCGAGCAGGTGAAAAATGAGTAGCAAAAGCCTTAGCTCCATGAGTATATCAGCGCCTGTAGCCGTAAAGCAAGTCTTTCTTCCAAGTCACGTGACCTGGTGGCAGACGGTCCGTCTGCTCGAAACTTACATGGGCGGTATTTCAAGAGGGCAGCCCCGCTCGGAGCATTGCAAGTGTCAAGCGCTGTATATTGGCCAGTGATGGGAATAACGGCGTTACTAGTAACGGCGTTACTAACGCCGTTACTTTTTTCAGTAACGAGTAATCTAACTAATTACTTTGACAGTAACTATAACGCCGTTATCATTTCCGACATCCCGTTACTGCGCGTTACTCAAGACGCACAATGAACGTGTTGTCATGAGAGAAGGGAGGATGAGAAAACCTCTCAGCAATTATTGGCTGATGTAAATCATATTTCCTTTACAATCTACATGTCTACAGTTGAGAGGATGGTCATAAATTGTGTTTTTGAAACAAATATGGGTCTTAATCGCGCTCAACCACGGCTTGTATCACCGTGAGGTCAGCCACAGAGGAGCGCATGTGAGCGCAGAAGTCGGCTGCATACAATTCTATCGATAAGCTCCTTGCTCTTCCTGGTTTATCTGCTAAGGGCAGCAACAGGTTTGGCTAACATACATATAACACATTTTTACATAATCTAAAATGCACATAGGGTAATTTTTCAATTACTATAGGAATGATAAGAAAGAGAGGTGAAGTGTAAGACGGTTGATTTTAGAAATTGGATGCAGCCGGCTGCAGCAAAACAGAGTAGTTTACGGAGGACACACGCGTTTTGTTTTACTTTTTAAAACTCATTGGACTCATTTCCAAATGGAGGAATACATATCTACGCTCAAACCATTCACTGGATTTAAACAAGGAACTGGTCTGAACCGAAGTGGACTGTGCAGGTCATTTATAAGGTAAGACCCATAACTCATAGTTTTGCGTTTTGTATGAACAAACAATGCGGGCATAAAACATATTTTGCTGTAGCCAAACAAATTGTCCACTTGATTTATATGATGTATATGTTCATCTGATTGGACTGAAGTCAGTGCTTCACCAGCCTCACCGCTCGTCACCGGTGTTTCCACATTCACAGTGGCGGGCTTTACAGCACAGACAGAGATGAAGAGTGAACAGGACTTCAGCAGCAAAACAGCCTTTTCTAGATGGAAATATTGGCACTGTTAAAGGTAAAAATGCGCACGTCGGGTGCACATTATGTTCCAGAACAAAACGAAAAAGTAACGCAATAGTTACTTTTACTGGTAACTAGTTACTTTTATAGTGGAGTAACTCCGTTAGTAACTCAGTTACTTTTTGGGAGAAGTAACTAGTAACTATAACTAATTACTTTTTCAAAGTAACGTGCCCAACACTGATATTGGCCCAAGTATTCATATAAAATAACTCATATGTGTCAACTCTTTAGGTCACAAAGTCCGCGGTGTGCCTTTAACTAACATATAATACCAATACTAATACTAACATATAATACTAATATTAATACTAACATATAATACTAAAACTAATACTAACATATAATACTAAAACTAATACTAACATATAATACTAATACTAACATATAGTACTAAAACTAATACTAACATATAATACTAATACTAACATATAATACTAATACTAATACTAACATATAATACTAAAACTAATACTAACATATAATACTAATACTAATACTAACATATAATACTAATACTAATACTAACATATAATACTAATACTAACATATAATACTAATACTAACATATAATACTAATACTAACATATAATACTAAAACTAATACTAACATATAATACTAATACTAATACTAACATATAATACTAATACTAAAGTAATCTTTATTTATATACCGCCTTTTCACTGCACATTGGAGTCTCAAAGCGGTTTACAATTGTTATTTTTTGGGAGTGGGGGTGCCAGTACAGGAGGCACATGCCAGAACTATTGTACATATTTTTTAGTGGTAGGGGAAACCGGAGCACCCGGAGGAAACCTACGCAGACACGGGAAGAACATGCAAACTCCACTCAGAAAGGCCCTGGTCCAACCGGGATTTGAACCCAGGACCTTCTTGCTGAGAGGCGAGAGTGCTATCCACTCAGCCTAACTTTGGACGCAAAACTAGCGGTAATCTTTAAGTTATAGCAGTGCATTGCTTTGGTACCATTTCATCAGTGATTGCTGTACAGCTTATAAGAAGCTGTGCTAGTGCTAACTAATGCCTATCAGATTGCTACTAAAACTAGATTGCTCAGTGTGAGGAGAGCGTAGAGAGCGTAGAGGAGAGTAGGAGGGTTTCTTAAATTGAGAAGCCTGTGAGCGGCTTATTATTATCCCATGTTATTATGGGATGCATGGACGGGTCATTTGGCACTTGCATCAATGCGTTAATTTTAACACAATTAATTAAAAAAAATTAGCACGCGTTAACACAATAATTTTGACAGCCCTAGTATACATATATTACAATATAGAGGACTGTCTTACCTCCTGGTGTCCTGCATGTGACAGGGCAGCTTGACGGCCACAGCCTGACCCGAGTCTTTGGTCAAACATTTCACCACCTGACCGAATCCTCCTCGTTCCAAGATGTCGGTGATCGTGTATTGCTCAGGCAGTGCCTCCAAAATATCCTCAAGGGTGAAAATTGACATTTCGACGAGAAAACTGAAACACAAACAGGATATTTATAATCTTTAGATTTAGATCTTTTTCAGAAAGAAAAATGAAAAAGAGTGGATCACTCTCACTTCACCCAAACAGTCAAAAAGTGACTCAAGGCTCGATACACCGGCAGAATCACCAGCAGTAGTGGTGGTACTCAAACTACCACAATACCACAAAAAGCAAAGTGAGTTCCAAACTGTTAATACAGCTTTAAACTGTTGCATGTTTCACAAACGGTCAGAGCAGGTTTTTGTGGCAAACAACTCAAAGAACATCAGTCATGGGTTTAAAACAAACAAACACTTTTGACCTTAAGGCTTTAAAGGTTCTTTTAATAAGACAAGAAACTAAAGAAAGCTAGTACTGCTTAATTACCTGACATGTTTCATGATTTCAATCGCGAATGAAATCAGGAAGCGGGGCAAACGGACCATCAACAGGGACGAGGAGGCTTTCACCTTGGCTCACACTTGGGATTCACTTCTCCAGAGACCACAGCGCGGCGGGGGATGTGGTCAGTCTGACGGATCTGTGAGATCTGTCAGACTGACCGCATCCGGCAACAACAGCTGATAAGAGACGCGACACACCATCACGTGTCACCTCTGATGAAGGCGGAAGTGTATCGCCGAAACATGTCAGGTACTTAAGCAGTACTAGCTTTTTTTTACTTTGTCTTATTAAAAGAACCCTTTAAAGCCTTAAACATAAGAAGACAAAATTAACTATTTACATTTATTTACTTTTGACTTTAATTTGTACCTAGTCCACCTGAAGGTCATATAGTTCATATAGGCTGTTTTTTACAAATATGCAAAATATATTTACTAAATAAGACTGTAACATGTTATTTAAAAACTCCAAATTACTTTATTATTCATCTCAGTTTTAATCATAATAGATTATCTGCTGGTCATTCTGACTGTAATAATATTGTCAAATCAAGCATGTTTTGATTCTCCAGCAGTCTTTTGTTTTGTTTCAGCCTTAACACAGTCCTGTCACTTTATGTTTGAAGTGAGCAGAACTAAAGCTCTTAAACACTTTTATCATCAATAACACATGTTTTTTTAAAACTGGATTAAGAGCCATACGCAGATAACAGTCTTGTAAACAACTCAGACAATACTGGCTTTATCCAACACTAAATTGAGAAACTATTTTACTCAGTGGCTGTGAGTGAGGGGGGTCCACTTTTTTCCCATTTTTGTCTGAAAAAGCAGGTTTAAAGATGTGACAGAGGTCTAAAATACATTCATGTGAAAGCAAGTGATGAGTCAAACTGTTTTGAGAGTGAGAAACTCGTCACATGGATTTTATTACAGACCGTTACCGCTCGTTCACACCGCACGCGTCACGTGGAGAGACTCACAGAGCTGTGCGTCAGGAGCTAACGTGAAATACGCGCTCACGTTATTAGCGAGGAGTGTAAACCATGGATCTATAAAGGTGTAAACACTTGAATATTTTTCAGTTGGGTGAGGACTGTGTACGAGTTGTTACGTCCATGGTTTTATGGTTCCCCAGCTTTTAGTCATGTTAAATATAGTATCTATTTATTTTATGTCTGCAATTGTTTGAAACACAAGTTGACTGATGTTATGCTAACGTTAGCTCCTTCTAGCAAACTTATTTACAGATAAAATCAGTTTGACCTGAACTAGAATAACAACCACATGTGTTAATAACACTTACCTGTTCACGTATCAAAGAAAGATATGTTTCGTAGACGTAAATCCGCCTGCTCTTTAAGTGTGCGTCTGCTCAGTTCAACTGCTCAGCTCAAATGAAGCATCTGCAGGTTTCACAGTCGCTATGGAGACCACATTCAACTACATTCTAGAAAATGTGTAATGGAATGTCATGATGTAATGCTTTTCAGCCTGTGGACAACTTGGAAAACACAAACAACAACATAAATTTAGTTTATTAAATACATTTTGTTTCTGACAACAGAAAGAGTCATGTTAACACGTTTGCTGTAGTAAATCACCATGTGCAATCATGTGCATTACTGAAATTTGCACAGTTGTCCACTGAGTGTCCACTCAATATCTCTTTATCTACTTTATTTAAATGCTGCCTGGAGATTTTCACCTGGTTCCCAAGCATTTGTCACTGTTATGCGCATTTGTGCTTACATTTACTCTTCACCGTGACATGCTAGGCAGGTAACAGCTAAGCTAGCTAGTTAAAAAAACTCTCTGGAACTACGGGAAAACTGTAACCTGGCAAGAGCCAGATTGATGATTGTGTAGAACTCTAATGCGTTCTCCACAATATCAATCTGGGACTTCTGCAGGAGAATTCTTTCGGGGAAAGGAGGGCTAAGCAGCAGAATACTTCAAGCTGATTGGGCGAAGTGACGCTGTGTGCCCGCCTACCAAGGTTTGACTTAAACCAATCCCGGTAACATCTTTGCCGTCCAGAAATGCACAAAGCGCCTCTCGCTGTTCATCTTTCAAAAAAGAAATTGGAGATTCTGCTAAAACTGACTTGAGAGCCTCAGCTACGCGTCCGTCCTCCTGCGTAGCCATGATTGTTTTGCTTCGGCCCGGCACTTCTTGCTTTCGTCAAACCCGGATATCCCGCCCTAAACCCCCAGACTGGCGCGTGATTGGCTTGAACAGCTAGATGTTCTACTCGAAAAGGGTTGGCGGGAGCGGGGCAAGATGTATTCTCGAGTGTTTGTGAACTCACAAATACCGCGAGAATTCAGCTTGCAGGCAAGGTTATGAAAACTGAACAAAGAATTCTGAACATGAGTAGTGAGTTACCCATTTAAATACCGAACCTAAATCCATAAACAGATCCTCTTCAAATGTGTCCTAAACAGTGTTGGGCACGTTACTTTGAAAAAGTAATTAGTTATAGTTACTAGTTACTTCTCCCAAAAAGTAACTGAGTTACTAACGGAGTTACTCCACTATAAAAGTAACTAGTTACCAGTAAAAGTAACTATTGCGTTACTTTTTCGTTTTGTTCTGGAACATAATGTGCACTCGACGTGTGCATTTTTACCTTTAACCTCAGTGAGTTTGAATATTGCCAATATTTTCCATCTAGAAAAGTCTGTTTTGCTGAAGTCCTGTTCACTCTTCATCTCTCTCTGTGCTGTAAGCACTAAACACCAACACCCTCCACTGTGAATGTGGAAACACCGGTGAAGCACTGACTTCAGCCCAATCAGATGAACATATATATCATATAACAGCTAAATCAAGTGGACAATTTGTTTGGCTACAGCAAAATATGTTTCATGGCCGCATTGTTTGTTCATACTAAACGCAAAACTATGAGTTATGGGTCTTACCTTATAAATGACCTGCACAGACCACTTCAGTTCAGACCAGTTCTGTGTTTAAGTCCAGATAATAGTTTGAGCGTAGATATGTAATCCTCCATTTGGAAATGAGTTTTAAAAAGTAAAACAAAACGCGTGTGTCCTCCGTAAACTACTCTGTTTTGCTAGGTGCAGCCGGGTGCATCCAATTTCTAAAATCAACCGTCTTACACTTGTCCTCTTTCTTATCATTCCTATAGTAATTGAAAAATTACCGTTAGTGCATTTTAAATTATCTTAAAATGTGTTATATGTATGTTAGCCAAACTTGTTGCAGCCCTTAGCAGATAAACCAGGAAGAGAAAGGAGCTTTCAGATGGAATTGTATGCAGCCGACTTCTGCGCTCACATGCGCTCCTCTGAGCCCTCACGGTGATACAAGCTGTGGTTGAGCGCGACTAAGACCCATATTTGTTTCAAAAACACAATTTATGACCATCCTCTCAACTGTAGACATGTGGATTGTAAAGGAAATAAGTTTTACATCAGCCAATAATTGCTGAGAGGTTTTCTCATCCTCCCTTCTCTCATGACAACACGTTCATTGTGCGTCTTTAGTAACGCGCAGTAACGGGATGTCGGAAATGATAACGGCGTTATAGTTACTGTCAAAGTAATTAGTTAGATTACTCGTTACTGAAAAAAGTAACGCCGTTATTCCCATCACTGGTCCTAAAATGTTAATGGTTACTTTTTGTCACATTAAAACAGTATTTTTGTCATGAAAACGTTAACTTAAATTCTGAAAACCTCCGTGCACGTGTGTTAAGGATGTACACTACCGTTCAAAAGTTTGGGGTCACCCAAGTGTTTTCCATGAAAAGTCACACTTATTCACCACCATACGTTGTGAAATGAATGGAAAATAGAGTCAAGACATTGACAAGGTTAGAAATAATGATTTGTATTTGAAATAAGATTTGTTTTACATCCAACTTTGCTTTCGTCAAAGAATCCTCCATTTGCAGCAATTACAACATTGCACCAAAAACCAGACATTTGCAGCTAGAATTGTCATTTACCACATGACAGCAATGTATGGAGTGTATTTCTTTACAGTTAAGACTAGTTTAAAGTTATCTACAGTGCTTTTCCTTCAAAAATAAGGACATTTCAATGTGACCCCAAACTTTTGAACGGTAGTGTATATGTATAATCTATTCCCCGATTAACATTTAAAGGAGTTGATTGATTGATTGGTATTTGTTTATTGAGCGTAGCTGGCTCAGCTAGCTCCGCTAGCTTCTCTGTACAGACAGAAGTAGTGACAGGCACTGAAAGCTTGTTGTACTTGCGGAGTAATGTTAGTATTTTACACATCTGAATTACAAACAGTGATTGCGTTGCCAAAGGGCAGCGGTCATTATTGGTTTGAGAGTTTTGTTATCAAGAAATAATGATCGATAGAACGTTTTGAAATTACATTCAAATCAATGGAGTGTTCTACTGCTGCTGTGAGGAGCTGTATAATAAATTATAATAAAAAATTCGAATATATTCTGATGTTTAAATTAATACATTTGGACGCGAAACTAGCAGTATACTT